ACCCCAGTCTTGCCGGGTTATTTATTACTTCGACACTCCTGCACTTGGGAGAAGACATCAATCTTTTAGTCGTATCAGAAAGTCCTAGAATTTTTTTAGGTTGAATAATCTCATTCGTTGATCTCTTTGAACCAATCTTAGCTATCCATCATTATTGTTTATTTTCAGTGTGTTTCGGATTGTTGTAGCGGTGGTAGTTCAAAGTATTTTTTGTTTAGAAATGCATCAAAATAAATTTTTTTATTTTTAAAAATTATTTTTAACATTAGCACATTAAAATAATCTGAAAACATAATTTTTTTATTAGCAAAAAAATTTAAAATTTGAGGGAATGCTGTGCAAAATTTGAGGAAATGTGGTTTGCATCACGTTTCCAAACAAGGTTGTATAGCATGCCTGGGTTGGCTCTTATGGCACGTGTTTTATGCCACCACTTCAAGGTAATACAATAGGTCTTTGGGTGAAAGTGAACTACAATTAGAGGGGAAGAGAATGACATACTTCTGGGCATTTAATGTTTGCGTGACAGAGAGAAACTATGGTCCAAAGCAGTTCAAAGATTTTGGATCTTGCATAAAGTAGGTTTTATTAAAATTTGTCTTGAAAATTCTTACTTAATCTTTGTGGTGTTTCGATCTTAAAATAAAAAAAAAAAGGAAAAGGAGAATCAAAATTTTTTTATTGGGAAAAAATCCTGAAGTTGCTGAAAAATTGCATACAAACAATAAATTATGTTCATCTTTATGACTTGATAAATTCAACATATTTTTTTTATATAAAAAATGAACAAAAAAACAAGAATAAAAATTTGCAAATCTTGAAAGGATTTTTAAAGAAGTAATTTAGTGATTTTAGATCTTCAATGAAGTAGGTTTTATCAAACCTTTTCTTAGAAATTCTTGGTGATCTTAATAGATTTCTTGCAAATTTGGGTAGAAAAAAATTATCTTGTATCAATTTCTTTAGTTCATTGATTTATTGCATCGTTTTCTTTATTTTCTTGAATTTCATAGTTTTCGATGTTTCTTAGTCATAATTCTTGCTTTTTATTCGTATCTTCATTTTCATCATTATATTCACACAAATTTACATAGCTACTCGTAAGTTTGTCCTCATGTTTTGTTTTGAGAAGTCTGAATAATTATTAATTCTTGAGTTTTTAAACATAAAATAAATTGTTATAGAGTTTAGTTAATTGCTTGATAAGTTGCTAAATTATTTTTAATAACCAAAATCCCAGAATATAATGGTAAAAGATGCAGCAAAACTATTAAAATAAAAAGCCTAATAAATTATGTGAAACATGAGAGGATTAAATTTTATTGTGAGAGTAAACATGTAAGTTATTTATAAGGAAACAAATTTTTTTATTACTAACTTTTATTTTAGGCACAAGTAATGTCTTCAAAAAGTGTTGATAAAAAAAAGATAAGAATTGTTGAGAAAATGCAGAATATAATAGAAGTTATGATAGAGATGTTAATGAGCAAGTTTAATGAGATGATTAGTAAATAAAAAGTTCTTAATCGTAAGGAAAAGGAATTTGAAATGGTTACCATTAAGGCTACAATAAATTATGACAGTGTGAGTGATAATTCTAAGGTAAAATAAAAATAAAAAAACAGAAGTTTTCAAAGGCTAATTAATGATCATAAAGTTGTTATAAAATTAATAAAGAGGCAACAAAGAGAAAACGCATTTCATACTAGATATTATATTAGTAACAAAGTATGTAATATAATTATTGACAATAGAAATATCATTGACAAAGTATGTAACAAAGAGAAAACGCATTTCATATTAGATATCATATTAGTAACAAAGTATGTAATATAATTATTGACAATAGAAATTGTGTTAATGGTGATCGTACTATACTTGTTAACAAATTGAATATTAACATTATTAAGCATGAAAAACCTTATAAATTTTGATGGTTGAATGAATATGATAAAGTTATAATAACTGAATAAGTTTTGATTTTTTTTTTAATTGAAAAGTACATGACAAAGACCTTGTATCATATGATTCCTATGATTCCTATGCATATGTATGTTAGTTATTTTATTGTTGGGAGACCTTAATTTGACAAAAAGGTCAAATATAATGGATTTAAAAACATCTATTCTATTGAGAAGGATGGAAAGGCATGCACATTTGTATCATTAACATATATTCTACGTAGAAGTAGAAGGATTCTGGTAATAAGTTTTTAATTGAAGCTTTAAATTCTTTAAATTATTGATCAACTTCCTTATAATTTGATATTTAATGTTTGTGTCTTGTTATAGCTATAGGTTAAGGATGAGTAATTATATATAACTTAATTTGATTCTAGAATGAGGTTATAGAATCAAGTTACAAGTTTTTTTGGTAGACCCTCAAATTAGCAATCTAAAAAATGATTCTACCTTATGGATATAATAAGTAGATTTCGATTAAAAAAAACTCCTATTTTTTTAGTAAGTTGTTTTAATTGAAGTGTGGTAAGATGACGCACATTCTTTTGTGATTTACTATTGTATCTCATCAAGCAACTTGTTAATACAACTAGATTTCTCAAAAAAAATAAAATGATAAACCATATTAAAGAAACAAATTAATTGGCTAAGCCATTATCAATATATATATATATATATTGAGGAAAAAAAATAACATTTAAATTTCCACAACTGTATCGCTCATAAAATTTTATTCAAACTCGCTTGAGCAAATATTTCAAAATACTCAAGAAACAAATTGGATCTTTTAACTCTCAACTTTTCTTTTTTATATGTGTGTGTGTTTATATATATATATTTTACTCCTCTCCTTTCGCGCATAGGATCTTTCGGCTCGGACCACTGTTCTGATCCGCTACTGCTTCTATCCCTTTAAGTAAATTAATTTCTTCAGCTGGTTTAACATTTTGGAAGATCGCTTGGAGGCGGCAGAAGTGACTCATTAGGGCCTTTTCCATTGTCCACCAAGAATGCCATCTTAAGTCCCCATGTAGTGTGGACCTCGAGATGGCAATGCATGAACCAAACTCCTTCAAAAATTGAGAAAAAAAAAATTAAAGAATATGAACTATAAAAAATTTCTCGAGTTCAAATTTAGTGGACATAAACCAAAAACATCAATTACCAGGATTATCGGCACGAAATCTTATGGCAACCCATCCACCAGAAGGTACTCCAATTGTGTTCCGTTCAACAGGGTCAACAAGGTTGAATTTCTTAGGATCGGTCTTCGGATTGTAATTCCCTACTCCCCCACCGACAGCAAAGAAATTGAATCCATGTAAATGGATTGGATGGTTCTCAGGGGATATGATCCCAGTATCTTGCATAACAAGTTGGACTGTCGAGTTGTAGGGCAACCTATATGCTTTTGTTCCACTTGTGGTCTGTAAATTTGTGGGTGGAGTGCCTGTGTAATTAAAAACATGCGGTGGCTTTGCAGGAAAATCAGTGGTGAACACACCACTGATGTTGAAGAAATGTGCTTGAAGCAGGGCAGTGGTAGGCATGACAAATGTGACATTGTTGATACTAGCAACAACTCTGCTACCATTACCAGCTTTGCAAGTTGGACACGGGTTAATTCCTAGACCAACAGTGAAGAAAAGGCTGTGATCAACGGTTAATGGGACTTTGGCAGGGAACGTTTTCGAGTTTAGACTGCGTAGAGAATTCGTAAATTGGTTGGCAATTGCAGTGGCATTCTTGGGAGGTGGGACGGTGAGAGTTGTGGGGGAGTTAGAAAGTGCTCCTGAATAGTGTAAAGTAGCTGTTGCAGTCATGTTGTCCACTGCAATTGGAGCATCCATGAATGGGGATGCTGCAACCAAGTACTTGCCCGTATTTTTGTTAGTTGTGACGAGGACATTGGTGGTCTGTCCTGGGGCAATTAGTACTGTACTAGTTTTGAAAGGTTTAACGTAGGTGGCATCAACTTCCACAAGAGTAAGCTTGTGCCCTGCAATTTTGAAGAAGAGCTCCTCATTGAGTGCAGCATTGATCAGCCGAAGCATGTAGGTCTTGCCACTTTGGACTGGCAAAGTGAAACCGCCTGCATGAGTCGGGAAACAATTTTATATCAGACCTTTACGGGAAACAATCCTCGATAACCAAGAATTCCTAAGTATATCTTATGGTCATTAATCTTTTGTGAATACCTTGTGAAGAACAAGTTGAGACAGCTCCTGGATGCCCATTAATTGTGTGAGCATCAGAGACATTTGGTGCTAATCCGGATTTAAGAGCCTCATTGATCACAGCTTCGGTATCTGATTTCCACCATTCCGCTGCAATATCACACCGCCTCATTAATCTCAAATTGCATATTTAACAAGAACGAATCTTATAAATTAGTTTATGGTCCGAACCATATTCTTATCTTCATAAGATTTTGACAAGTTATGGTGAAACAAATAATTTGTGATTCTCACCTAAAACAACAACCACTTCCTTGTGGGGAGCTGGGAATGGGTAGGGGACACCAAGCTTAGGCAAGACAACTATGGCACCGTGGACAGTGGCTCTTAGCCAGAGAATATGTGCATGCCAAAGAAGTGTGCCTCTCTGGCCTGTGATTGTGAAATTGTAGACATAACTTTGCCCTGTCTGAATGGGGCATTGCGTAATGTTCGCTGGTCCATCAGCCCAGCCCGTTCTTAATTGCCTAATGCCATGCCTGCAAAATACCAGGAAAAAACTGCATCAGAATCATTCATGATGAATTAGAGGATAAATGTTATTTAGTATCTTACCAGTGGATAGACAAATTATATTTGACACGGTTAACAACTTTCACAAGAACTGTATCGTCTTCCCTGGCATACAGAGTTGGTCCTGGGAACAGGCCATTGACGGTAACAATCGGCTTGCTTGAGCATAGCCTGGTAGTATTTTTCATCACCACCTGTTCATATGATACATCAAATGAAGATCATTTCTGAATAAATTGTATATGATTAAAATGCAATGACAGAATTTTCCATTTTGTTGCAGTGGTTGTAACTAATTACATCACTGTAGCTAGGTAGTGATTTGATATCTTACCATTATTGTGCAATTAATTCATTTCTTTTATTCCACTTAATTTATGGATACTTGATTAGGGCTGCACTTTAACCTTCATTTGCAAGTGACCAATTTTGACAATGTACTTGACTAATTTCTGCAAACACAGTGCAATTATATATATATATATAGTGTCTGGTTGCATGAATATATCGATGGATTGTGAAAGCTTTGTGCTGCAACTCCATATGAATGATGGACAAGTCAGGAAAAAAGCTTTTTTAAGACAGAGGATGTGTCAAGATACACAATGCATCGTGCAAACACTTAGTTATCTGCTAATAATGAAATGCATGTCGAAGAGAATGAGAATAATGACATCGAGGGAAGAAAAAAATATGCATAAAAAGGCAAGCTTTTGTCATATGAAGGCATGCGACAGCATATATATTTAACTTACATTGAACTTGTAATGCCGAATCCTGCACTCGACCAAAGCAGGGAAGAGGCAGACAGCAAGAAGCATAAAACGGAACCATGAGTACTCCATGTTTGCTCACTCAATTCCTAATGTTTCTCTCGCAGTATCTCTCTTGCTATTGGTTTGCTTACTGCTTTCTGGCTTTGATGCTTTCATGTGTGACTCACTACCACAACCTTATAAAGGGAATAGGGGTATTGCTTCCATGTCGTTGTTTCTCAGTTAGGTGCGTGTGTAGATTCTTGGAAAACAAGTATTGATGCCTATTCTCACTAGATTTCTTACATGTTACATAAAGTTTTCTTTCGTATGGACCAACGTAAATTTGGAAGCAAACTACCTATACCATTTTCGTTTAGTTCAAAACCTTGTCGGAAATTAACTTCTTTGGTGGAAATCTGTGTTATAAAAGTTATCTAATATGGCAACCACCTTCTAAATACTAATCTTGAAAACATCCTCTTGTCCGACCAAAGATCCCAAATTCCCAATAGATTAATTATTAGTTAAATATATATATATATATATATATATATTAGAAAAAAAAAGAATAAAGAAAAAACATTTCAGTGTAGCCAAATTACATGGTATAAGTCGAGCTAGTTAATCACCACCTCCATAATGTGTCCTCAAAGTTTCTTTTGTTTATTATTCTTTATTTATTTAGTTACTTTCTAGGATAACCCGATCGAACAATGATTAATTCTCTTAGTTTTTCATTTTTGTTGTCTTTTTTTGGGTAAAATTAAGGTATTATTTAGCCATGTTAGCTGTTGCATTGAGATTATCTTTTTCTTAAATTCAAACCTTAAATGCAATGTGCTAAAGAAAAAGAAAGCCCACTTATCAACTACCTTTATACTCTAATTAGTGGTTCTTTTGAGACAATAGAGAAACTTAATAAACTTGGGTTAACATATATACCCTAAAGAGAAGCCCAGTAGTAATTACTGAATGTTAACCTGATTTTAATTATTTATAAAAGTTGGTTAGTATATTTTATTTATTTATTTATTTGGTTAACAACTTTGTATCTTATCTCGATGGTTACCCTGTTCGGTCATATAAAGATTTCGGTTGCCAGTCATATATTTTATTTATTTATCTATTTGTTCTTTACGTTCCATAAATGACAAATAATTTATTAGTTATGGATTTTATATATATATATATATATAAAAAAGAGACAGATAAATTATTTATCGCTTATAAAAAGTAAAAGAAAAATGGCTTGCATCTCTAGGTTTTAGTTAATAGATCAAGATTTTTTTTATTGGTTATTTGAGTTTTTTAATTTTTTTTATTTTCAATTTTTAATAAATGAATTTTCTTTTCTTTTCTTTTTCCTTCTACCCTTCCTTTTTTTCAATTATATTTTTAATATAAAATATTTATTTAATTTTATTTTCTAGAATTAGATTGATAATAAATTAGTCATACTAGGCGCTTCATAAGCTTCAATGGATGTCTAAGCATCAGGGGTAGATCTGGAAAGCCACTTCCACAAATCATTAAGCCAGACGGCAATTGTATTTGCTTTTGACAGAGATCAGTTTCATTTTCATGGATGAAGTAGATGTAAATCAACTTTTATGTCCATATATAGAAGCAGATAGAAATGGATAATGACTCAATATATTCGAGTATATATTATATATTTTATTTAAGAAATATTAGCCATGAAAAATAGCAGGCAGATCTCCAATGGAGCCTAGAGATGAATATAAAAGTTCGAGAATTAGAAGAAACTAAAACTTGTGTCCTTTTCATTGTATTGTTTGTTTTTTTATTTTATCCTCTCACAATTCATTTGAATTGTACATGGGAATAATGCTATATTTTTATTTTAATTATCATTACCAGAAAATAAAAAAAATATTAATAGGATATTTTGTTGGTATTTAAAGCTTGAATTCATCAGTAATAATCTTACTAACAAAATAATACAGAAGAATATCATTAGAAAACATATCATTAATAAATTCTATTTTATCAGTTTTTTCATTGATAATATAATGATCGATGGAATTATTGTGCCAAACAAAAAGATCTACTAGCAATAATTTTATCGATAAATTCATCAACGATTATAGCATATTACTGATAGAATTAATCGATCAAATAATTACAGGTAACGTTGAAATGGTCTTATAATTTTTTTTCAACTCTCTATAACTAAGAAGGACTATGTTAGTTGGTAATTTCATTGGTATTTTAATTTCATCAGTATGATATGTAAATATTTTTTTAAAAGATAAAACAAACAATAGAATTAAAAAAAAATTAAAACATAATTAAATTAAAATAAAATAATCAAATTTAAACAGAATTAAATTAAAATAAAAAAATTTGTATTATTAATTTAAAAATAAATATTATTAAATATAATTTATCTATCTAGTGGAGAAAATTTAGAAAAGAAGACAGAGATAGATCTTCACCATAACCAGAAGGGCGACGAGGTGGAGCACAATGACCGATGAGGTTTGCCAACAACAACTCCATGACATTCAATTTATCTTTTAGTTCGGTTGTCTTAGCCCTAAGTAGGGTCATTTTTGCTTGAACTTATTTTCGTATGATAACCTAAATTGCCAATGACTGTAAGCTCAATTCAAATTATAGGATCCCAACAGTTAAGCCTCGACAACCTGCTAGCATATCTTTGATAATAGTGTTGGAGATACCATGAACCCAATTTTCTTTTAAATCCATTAGTAGATTCAACCTCTAACCATAAATTTGGATTGAGTTTTAGATGATTCAAAGAATTTTCTTCGTATCTTTCATGCAATCAAGTGTTATATAATTTCTAAAAAAACAAATTATCAAATATATAACCAAAAAAAGTTTTCAGTGCCAAATTGAAGTTTCGTTGACCGCACATGTTGTCAAGGGATGAAGGGTTTGTTGGGATGATTCAAAAACCACTCGAAAGTCTGAAAGTCGGTGTTTGGCCAATGGTTGATGCCACACATGTCGCTCGAAGAGTGAGATCATTAACCACGAGCTGACACATGCAAAATACATATCAACAACTTTATCTTTTCAATAACATTTATATTTATTAAATTATTGCTACATGAATTTTATTATAAAAAAATACATACTAAAAAGACAAAAACATCATGGGATGTAAGTTAAAGAAAATTTTCTTTTAAATGTAATTTAATTATTTTATTGTGTTTTGATAAATAAAAAGATGATAATGTATATGGATGAGAACACTAATACAAATATTTATAATATAAAAAAATTATTTTACTTTTAATAGTTAGTTATTTAATTGTTTTAAAAGAATGAAATAGTTATTTTACTATTTCAATAACATCAACATTTGTATTCCTGTACCGACTTATGCTTCTTAGGTTTTTTATTTTGAAGGATGCATTGTTTTGTACTGTGTTATGAAAATTATTTATCTTTAATGTATTATGAAACAACTTTATGAAATGCTTTCCCAGTAATTTTTTTAAAATTCGATAAATAATATTCACTGACTAAGATGAAAAGCCCACAGTAAAGCATGTGATATAGGATTAGAGTTTGTGTACATCATTTTTTAAAATATTTTTTATTTAAAAATATATTAAAAAATGTTTTTTACATTTTTTAAAATATTTTTTATTTTAATATCAATGTATCAAAATAATTTAAAAATACAAAATATATTTAAAAAAAAAAACAGAATTTACCTCTCTACATTGACCACAGCTATAATTTAAAATCATGAGATGGATCTAGAACTGTATTAAAAAGTCGCTTCAGTGAATTAATTTGTCTTGCTAGTTGTCGTGATGAGCAACTTTCTTTTCTTCTTCTTCTTCTTTTTTTTTTAATAAAAATGATAGCTAAAGTGGAGAAAAATTATCAAACTTGAAGACTTAGATTAACAAAGGTATAATTTAGTAGTAGTGATTATTTTTTAAAATATATTAAAATAATTTTTTTAATTTATTTATAACATCCACATATTAAATCTAAAAAAAAAAAATAACTAAATTTTACAAAAACAACACTTTCCAACCACATAAACAATTGATGCAGAAATATGCACCCTCAAATCCTCAACAATACATCCTTTTTGTCAACAAGCATTAAGTGTTTAATCAATGCCAAATTGGGACCATGTTTGAAGTTAAAGGATATATATATATATATATATGTCAAAAAAAGAAACCTATTGTATATGAAGACGAAGTCTATTTTATCAACTTAATATAAAACCAAACGATCGAGACATGCCAGGAAAAGGGAATCACCAATTTTATTTTATTTATTTATTTATTATTATTATTTTTGGTTAGTTCAGTGAATACATATACATTTATTGAAGATATTTCTCTTAAAAAAAGAAAAAAAAATACAAAATGACAGGAGATTTGTTTCCTTTAACGACGTTCCTATCACAAGAACAAGAATTTATAAGAATGCTTGCTCTTCAAGAGAGTTCATGGTTGAGAAATTCCTTTCATGCAATGGAAACCTCAGATTAGCCACCCCAATGGGATATAATGGCTTGTTTGAAAGCAAAATGGAAACCAACGGTGGGTAAGCAACGACTTATCACCCCCAAATTTATATGCTGCTAGTGACAATTCATCGACTGCTTTTTATCCGTTTTATACTCCTTATCTCTAATTCCTGATCGATCATCGCATACAAAGCCGAGTTCATCCGTTAAAAGAAGTGGTTTCCTTTTCAAAACAAAGCTAGTTAGTTACCTAACTATTTATCCTCAACTTTGTTTAGTAATTTGTCTCAGTCACAATGATCTCAAGGCTAATGACGGTGAATCTTCTAAAACCACATAAAAAAACAGTAAACAAATCATGCTTTTAATGTGAGGGTATTCGGGTAATATTTTGTTTGGTAGTGTAATATTTATTATTTTTTAAAATATATTTTTTTTATTTGGAATTGTATAAAAATATTTATTTTAATTTTTTAAAATTTATTTTTAATTAAAATTATCTAAAAGTATATAGAATATCCACCTTTCCATACATGAAAAAACAAACGGTGACTAAGAAAGCATTTGGGAACGTTATTGGCCGGGCATTTTCACAAAATTTTAATTTTTCTTGTTTTAAAATTTATTTTTTTTATATTTTTTCATTATTTTGATATTGTGATGTTAAAAATTAATTTAAAAAATAA